CCCCTTCATTAGGCAGTTACAGCAAGGCAATGTTTCGGAGTCCTACAGGACCCCTTCATCAGGCATGTGACGATGGTCACATGCCTGATGAAGGGGTCCTGCGAGACTCCGAAATATTGCTTTGCCGTAACTATGTGATCGTTCATTAAAACTTTTGGACCCATATTGATGATCCTCGATGTGCTGGTGACATTCTCCCTAGCTTCCTGGCGGGATCGCACAGGTGGGTTGGGACTAGGATCTGAACATGCCTGAACTCAACCCTATATAACAGGAATTGGCTGAAAATTGAGCCATCTATGGCCAGCCCAACATACTCCAATCAGAATCGAAAATGAACCCTTATAAAACATACAGAGAACACATACCACCTACTAAATGGATCCTGGTTTTCATTGTGACACAATGTAGTTACAGTGCAATAGATCGGCCAGCTGGAATAATGTTGGGGTTTATTTATAAAAAAAAAAAAAGTACAGCTCTTTGTACATTCAAACTGCATGTACATTTCTTCTGTGCAAAGTTCTCAGACTGTATTCTCTGCAGATTGAATGGTATTTTTGAAAAAAACAAAACAAAAACTATTTGCATAAAAAAAATACCTCATTATGGCCATTAGATGGAGCGGAAGAACATGGCTTTTTTCTTTTGATACTCACCACCATCTAGTGGCCATAATGTGGTATTTTCCCCATTCAAACTGCTTTTTTCAATAAACATTTGATAGAGAATAAAGCCTGAGAACATTTAACTTTGCCCCTTTGAGAACGAAATGACATGATGTTTCAGCTATGCAAACATTTAAATAAATATTTTATCCATTAATCCAATATTCTGGAAACATTTTTGAGCAAAGATTGTTTGGGTATTGATCCACTTTTTGCTGTCTCACAAAATGACAGCAACAATATCACGCAGCAGTTTACCGATTGACCTTACTTGTTGTCTAAAGCTCACCACACATGCTCCAATCTGATCGTACAAGTGCCTTTAGATTAATCAACCACTATGTAGTGCAAAGGTCGGCCTGACTGTTTGCAGATTGATTGGGTGGTTTATTTAGGTCTTCGAAGATTAGTGTTAATTAAAAGAAGATTGTATGAGGATTGTAAAGTCAGATTGTAGGGTGTATGGTGAACCCTGATATCTCCCAAGCTTTGTCCGTTCTGTTCAGCTGTGGGTGTGCATTTGTTTTCTTCTTGAGTATAAGCTTACAAAATCCTCAGATAGTGAATAGCAGAAGGGAAATGGAAACATGAATGTAAAGGAGAATACCGTTTTACTCTGTACAGATCAGGGGCGGACTGACAACTCATGGGGCCCCCGGTCAATAGGGGATCATAGGGCCCCTGTGTCCTTGCCCAAACTCAAAAAAGCATATGAAAAAGGTACCAGGGGCATCTCATGGGGCCCCCTATTGACCCCGGGCCCTTGGGCAGTGCCCGAGTTTCCAAATGGTCAGTCCGCCCTGGTACAGATTGTCATGTGAGTACAAACAGAGCCGGTGCTATACTATTTTGCATCCTAGGCAAGACTAGCTACCCCCCCATCCCCAAAAAATAAAACAAATTAAAACACAGTAGAAAATAATAAATCAACAAAACATGAAACTGCTAAATTTCTTTTAATTTGCAAAACTAAGTGCCATAACATGCCACCAGCATCAATATTAAAGACATAATCGGTGTCACGGATGGACTGTATCTGTGGCTGGCAGTGGCAGAGTGACAGTTGCAGTGAGTGGAGGATGATGGATCCACACTTTGACAGATCCCAGGCTGGAATTCCCTAGGCAATGGAGGGAGATAAAACACTGTGACAGCAGGCAGTCCAGCCCACACACACACACACACACACACACAGAGAACACCTGAACTGAGCGATCCCACACAGTGACAGATCTGACACAATACACCACCGCCAACACTGACACAGATCAGCACCAACACTGACACAGATCAGCACCAACACTGACACAGATCAGCAGGCCCAGCAGGCACTAGAAGGGCAAACTGTGGGATCGTGATGATGTCATCACTCACTGACACATTGCACATGTGATGGATGGCCAGCCGGGTCACACTCACACAGACGCGAGACGAAAGTCAGACATTACCTTCCTTCGCAAGCACAGCTCCGCCTCTGCTGATGAATGGGAAGAGAAGAACTGGAACTCCACAGTGATCAGCAGCTGCCAGCCGGCTTGCAGTAAGGGACTGAGTCTGAGAGGAACACTGAAAGGATCGGAACCTCAGCTGTTACACTGGCCCCAGACACCCGGCATCTTCCTCTGTCCTTTCTTCTTCCCCTCTGCCACCACTCCCCTCAGTTATAGGATCATTCATGACTTGGCGGCATCCCACACAGAGAGAGTACCAGCCTCTGCTGCACCCAGGTGCCCCTAGGTGGCAGTGCGCCCTAGACGGCTGCCTATTTTACCTATTGGAAGCACCGGCCCTGAGTATAAAGCTTCCAAATAAAGGTGGAGAAGCAATTAAGGATAGAGACACTGACCTTGGGGGCCTAGAAGAAGATACACTTCCTGTACTCACTGTAGCAGCCGTGGATCAGTATATGTGAAAGAAGGGGTATACTGATCTGTCCGGGGTATTCCTAGTACATTAGAGTCCAGATAGTGGATTACACGGGTCCACCTAAAACTAAAATAGTGACAACCTAAAGATCTTGCATCCAGCAATTTATTACATAACTTTGAAACAGGATTGCTGGGGAAGGGGAGGGTAGGTGGGGGGGGGGGGGGGGGGGGCAAGCAAGGGACTGTGTAGGTGCTTAAGATAATGCTATAAAATATTTACTATTGGCTTCCATAAATACTAAGCGTGTTTGTGAAAATCACACTCTTTTTATCCTCCGAACTCTGATATTCACCTTTTTCTTTTAAAAATAGAAAATAGATTTGACCCTCCTCGGCATCAGACTCACCAACCATATGACTGTTCCCACCCCTACACTGTGCTGACAATGGAGATCAAACAGGTGCAGAGTAACACAAAAAATGGCCTGGTCAGGAAGGGGGGTAAATCCTCAGGAGGGCAAATGGTTAATGGGAACAGAATTCTATAAACAACAAAAAAAAACAATGTCACTTGTTTATGATACATGCTTTAGCAAATAAAATGTCATCGAGTTAAGGTTTACATCTACTTTAACTTTTATTGTACATCATTATTTGTAATAAAAAGTTTAAAATAGTATTTTAACCACTTGACAACCAGAAGGTTTTACCTCCTCCATTTTTTGCTATTTAGCACTGTGCTACTTTAACTGGCAGTTGCTCAGTCATGCAACACTGTACCAAAATGAAATTTCTATCATTTTTTTGCACAAATAAAACTTTCTTTTGGTGGTATTTGATCACTACTAGGTTTTTTATTATGAATGAAAAATACCAAAAATTTTGAAAAAAACCCAATATTTCCACTTTCTGTTATAAAATATATCCAGTAAAATAAATTTAGGGCCAAAATGTATTCTGCTACATGTCTCCGGTAAAAAAAATCCCAATAAGTGTATATTGATTGGTTTGTGTGAAAGTTATAGTGTCCACAAACTATGGTATAGATACTGGAATTTACACAGCTTTTACTTTCTGACTGCCTATCAAATTTCTTGAGGTGCTCAAATGCCAGGGCAGTACAAACACCCCCCATCCCCAAATGGGGAAGGTAGACACCTCAAGGTATTTGAGAGGCATGTTGAGTCCCTGGAAGATCTTTATTTTTTGCCACAAGCTTTTGGAAAATGACAAAAAAAATGCTCTTTTTGTTTTACACAGTTAAAGTTGCCACTTTAATTAGATATTTCTCACACATGCCATTGGAATGTAAAATTGCATCTCAAAACACATTCTACTTCCCTTGAGTATGGGGACACCACATGCAAGAGACATTTTGGAAGCCTAGCCATGTATGGGGGTCCAAAACCAATGACCACCTTCAGACTTTTAAAGGGCGTAATTTCCTAATTTCATGTCCTGACTACGTATCACAGTTTCGGAAGCCCTGAAATACCCCCCCCCCCACACATTATCCCTTTCAGGAAAGTAGACACTCCAAGGTATTTGATAAGGAGCATGGAGAGTATTTTGCAGATCTCATTTTTTGTCACAGGGTTTTGAAAGATGAAAAAAGAAAATAGGAATACATTTTCGTTTCCTCATTTTCCAAACAAAGTACTCACCATGCCTCTTATCAAATACCTTGGAGTGCCTACTTTCCAAAAAAAGGGTCATTTGGGGGGGTTGTTTCTACTGTCCTGGCATTTCAGGGTCTCCGAAACTGTGATAGGTAGTCAGGATATGAAATGAGGAAATTATTTTTTGTTGCATAAACACTGAAAAATTGTTTGCTGAGTTTAGAAAGATCAGCAAAAAAAAAAAAAACCTCCGAAGGTTATCTCTAGGCCTGAAACTGCTTTTCGTTCTTTTATTCGCCAACAGCTGACAGGCAATAAACACGTGAGAAGGGGCAATGTGACAAGTGTGAAATGATGGCTTTAATAATTAAAAGCAGTACAAGATAGTCCTAGAATATGCAAAAAAATTGGTACGCCACAAAGACAGGCTCGCGGAACCCGACTCTCTTCTGCATTAAATTGCTCATTGCGTGAGGAAATCATTTGCACAGGTGTTTATCAGGAATGGTTGGATATTCTCTGCAAAGTCGAAGTATTTGCTTGTTACATAAAGATTCATTTTTCACATGCAATGAATTTGTGCAGATAGGAATGTCACCTCTGACCTGCCATACCTCTTATTCTTGACACCTTGTTAATGGTCCCTGTCAGCCCCACTCCCTGCCTTCAGCTCTGCCTCTGGCCCAACATAAATTGCTAATCCACTTACAAATATTATTTTTATTGCCTGAATCCCATCCTTCACTGTCCCGCACTGCTCCTGGCAGGAGACACACGTTACACGCTCCTACACTGTGCGCTCACACTCAGTCCGCACTTAACAACACTTTGTACAAAAAACACGCAGACAATGAACAGAACAGACGCTGTTATGACCTATGACAGTGATCAGAATGTTGGTATGGGCTATGGCGGTGATCAGAATTTTGGTATGAGGTATGGTGGTGATCAGGACACTGGTATGGAGTATGGTGGTGATTAGGACACTGATATGTTGTATGGAGGTGATCAGGGTGCTGGTGTGGGGTATGGCGATGATCAAGATGCAGGTTTGGGGTATTGCGGTATCGGGATGCTGGTATGGTGTATGGGGTGATCAGAATGCTGGTATGGGGCATGGCGGCGATCAGGATGCTGGTATGGGGTATGGTGGTGTGACGGAGGGTAAGCGGGACAGAACACACAAGGCAGACGGCAAACACTTAAAGCTTTATTAAAACAGACAACAGTCACTCAATGGGGAGTAGTGCAGGGAGAGAGAGTCCAAAATACTTGTAATCCAGCCCCGGTGGGCAAAGTTAAAGTCTCTACAGCAATTTGTAATCCAGGAGGCAGTTCATAAGCAGTCAGATAGCACAAGGGAAGCATACACTCACGCAAAGCTGATGCGATAGTCTCAGGCAGAGCTGACAGCGTTCCAGGCAGGGCTGATGTAGCTTCTGGGATCCCTCTTCCTCCAATGGGGCTCAGGCAGAGCCGGGGGGGCCACTAGAGTCCAGCTGGACCCCTCAGTGGTTGCCCAGCAGAATGGCTTCCAGGAGAGACCAGCACTGACCTCTTAAAGGCAGGACGAGAGGTGGAGGGTGGTCATTAGCAGGATGGCAATGGAGGGACTGGCTTAATTGAGTTTAGGGACATTTTGGATGACCATGGAGAGAATGGACAGGAATGGAACTACGGTAATCTAATTTGTAACTGTAAACAGAAAAGACTTGTTGGACAGGATGGACACTGAAACACAATAATTGAATTTGCAGCTGTAAACAGTGTAACAGTGGGGGAAATACATTAATACAAAAGTAAGGCAGTAATTAGTGGGGAGGATATTATAATTAGGCAAACGACTGGTTGGACAGGATGGACACAATAATTGAATTTGCAGCTGTAAACAGTGTAACAGTGGGGAAAAAACATTAATACAAAAGTAAGACACTAATTAGTGGGGAGGATATTATAATTAGGCAAACGACTTGTTGGACAGGATGGACACAATGTAGGACATCAGGACACAACACAGTAATTGGATTTGTAGCTGTAAACAGGGTAACAATGGGGGGGGGATACACTAATTGAATTTGGGACCTTTTGTGGAGGGGGCGCGTTAATTACAGCTAGGGGCCTTTGGCACACAGGAGTCGAATACTAATTGGAGGATGCTCTTCCTATGTCCAGGAGGGATTAAAAGGAACCAGGAATTAATAACTGGGAATTAATAACTGGGCTGGCAGAGAACTTGTGACACTCTGGATCATTAATTAGGAATTAATAATTGGCCGGGTCCCTACACTGTGACAGATGGTAATCAGGACACTGGTATGGGGTATTGCAGGTATCAGGACGCTGGTATGGCATATGGAGTGATTAGGATAATGGTATGGGGTAATCAGAATGCCAGTATGGGGTATGGCGGTGATCAGGACGCTGGTTTGGGGTATTGCGGTAATCAGGACGCTGGTATGGCATATGGGGTGATCAGGATGCTGGTATGGGATATGGTGGTAATCAGGACACTGGTATGGGGTATTGCAGGGATCATGATGCTGGTATGGCATATGGAGTGATTAGGATGCTGGTATGGGGTGATCAGAATGCCGGTATGGGGTATGGTGGTGATCAGGATGCTGGTATGGTGTATGGGGTGATCAGAATACCGGTATGGGGTATGGCAGTAATCAGGGTGCTGGTATCGGGTATGACGGTGATCAGAGCACTGGTGTGGGGTATGGTGGTGATCAGGATACTGGTATGGTGTATGGCGGTGATCAGGGTGTTGGTATGGTATATGCTGGTGATCAGGGCACTGGTATGGTGTATGGCGGTGATCAGGGTGTTGGTATGGGGTATGGCGGTGATCAGGATGCTGGTATGGTGTATGGGGTAATCAGAATGCTGGTATGGGGTATGACCGTGATCAGAACACTGGTGTGGGGTATGGTGGTGATCAGGGTGTTGGTATGGTGTATGGTGGTGATCAGGACACTGGTATGGTCTTGAGAATGCCCTGTGGGAGGGGCGAGGCACGTTGACGTACTTCCGGTCCGCCGTCATTTGGGTCTGCGTCGCTTCCGGTGTTTGGAACGCAGGCCGAGTGCGTTCCAAGCGGCCATCTTCAGAGGGGGAAGGCTGATCATCCTCTGCCACTCAACTGAAGCGTGAGATCCCTATATATCTTTCTGATTGTGGAACCTGGATACTTTTAAGCCATATAGGCGATTAAACAAGGCTTTTTTATTATATCTGACCATGTGAGTGGCCTTAATTTTTCCTTTTATTTATGAGTATTTGGCAGTATTACACTATGTAGTTTCTTTTTTCTCTGCTATATTGAGGAATTCATGGAGGAATAAAGTGGAGGCGTTTTATCCCTATTAATGGTGAATAAGAAGATTTGATCTTATCTAGAGGGCTTAGAATCCCTTATATCCTATAAGGCTCATTACTCACCTTCATCTGGTGAGTGCGGTTGATATTATTTTGCACGTGGTGGAAGGTGTTAGTATATGCTGAATAAGTTATACACTGAAATTTAATGAAAATAAGGACTTTTTCTCACTTGGCCATTTGATTTATGCATTTATAATATATTTTTTTGGAGATCTTGATTTTGCGCTGTTATTTTGATGTTATAGGACACTGGTATGGTGTATGGTGGTGATCAGGACACTGGTATGGTGTATGGCGGAGATCAGGGTGTTGGTATGGGGTATTGCAGTGATCAGGGCACTGGTATGGTGTATGGCGGTGATCACGGTGTTGGTATGGGGTATGGCGGTGATCACGGTGTTGGTATGAGGTATGGCGGTGATCAGAATGCTGGTATGGTGTATGGGGTGATCAGAATGCTGGTATGGGATATGACCGTGATCAGAACACTGGTATGGGGTATGGTGGTGATCAGGACACTGGTATGGGGTATGGCGGTGATCAGGGTGTTGGTATGGTGTATGGTGGTGATCAGGGTGTTGGTATGGGGTATGGCAGTGATCAGGACACTGGTATGGTGTATGGCGGTGATCAAGGTGTTGGTATAGCGGTGATCAGGATGCTGGTATGGTGTATGGGGTGATCAGAATGCTGGTATGGGGTATGACCGTGATCAGAACACTGTGTGGGGTATGGTGGTGATCAGGGCACTGGTATGGGGTATGGCGGTGATCAGGGTGTTGGTATGGGGTATGGCGGTGATCAGGGCACTGGTATGGTGTAGGGCGGTGATCAGGACGCTGGTATGGTGATGATCAGGACATTAGTGTGATGTATGGCGGTGATCAGGGCACTGGTATGGCGGTGATCAGGGTCTTGGTATGGCATTTAGCGGTGATCAGGACGCTGGTATGGCGGTGATCAGGGTGCTGGTATGGGGTATGACCATGATCAGAACACTGGTATGGGGTATGACCATGATCAGAACACTGGTATGGGGTATGACCATGATCAGGACATTGGTGTGGGGTATGGTGGTGATCAGGGCACTAGTATGAGGTATGGCAGTGATCAGGACATTGGTGTGGTGTATGGCCATGTTATTTTGAGTACTGGGACAGTTGACAGGGGCTGGCTGCATGTTTATTACTCACTACAATGGACAGTGATCAGGGACTCCAGGGCTGGCTGGCACTGCAGTATGTGAGTCTACAAGCAGACTGACAGGCTGCTGTACATTTACAGGATGCTGCGTCTTTTCTGCTCTAGCAGAGAGAACTGATCTTTACTTTCACTTTCAGTGTTACAATGTGAGTGCTGTGATTTGGTCACAGCAATCACATGGAAGAACACCATGTGATTGCCCGGACACAGTGGTAATGTGATCCGCTGTGTCCAGGCAACTACAGGTTGCTGGGCAATCTGTGAGCTGTGCAGGAGCTGCCGCTGCAGGCTGATGTACAGGTAGATTAGCCCAAGATTACAAAGCTTCTTGTCAACATCCATAGGCCATGGGCAGACGGGAAGTGGTAAAAGTGGTGTTAAACCAAAAAGAAACATATATTATATTGAGGCTTACCAATTCTTAGATGTGATGATGCATTTGTTTTCTTTTTTTACATTTTCTTCCTTAATTTTATCTGGTGATCCAGCCAGTAAGTCTGTTGCTTTTCAAAAGAACAAGCTTTCTTCCAGATGTATCAGTTTACAGGGACTAGACAAACCATTTAACACTGGCATGTTTACAATGATCAGCTTTTATTTATTTATGTAAAACCTTTATCCCAAAAGGACAAAAACTGTTTGCTGTAACTGATTAACTGAATATAAAGTATGAGCTGGAGTTTGGCTTCAATTTGTTAGTGTATGCAAATATTCTAGTACATTTAAACTGACCCCCAGACTGACCATGCTGCTGTCCAAAGGTGCCCCCTGTGCTCCTTCATCCAGAGCAGAGGCACAGGAGGTGTGTTACCGGTCAAATTACAGGTGAAATCGGAGGCTAAAAAGCCTATAAAAGAAAACTAATGCAGCCACTTCACCTAACGACTGGTAAGCTGCAATATATGACATTTTTGGTTTGGGGTTTAATACCGCTTTAAAGTGATAATAATTTGTCTTTTTTTTTTTTTTTTTTTTTCTTAGCCCTGTTTTTCATGATGGTAAAGGGGATGAGGTACCGAATGGAACCAATGAGTGGTCAGCAGAGGTTGACATTAAATAAAAAGATGATTCCAAGTGTAGTCTTCAGAAAGGACAATAATCAGCAGACCATAAGAACAGGTTAAAGTGAGACTAAACCGCTGAACCGCCTCTCCTTGCCCCTTTTCTGTACCACCATCTTTAAATTTTTGCTGCATGCGCATATGCACAGATGATGTCTTCCAGGTATCTAGGACCGGGCAGTGCCTGGTGGCGCATTTGTGCAAGTGAACTAAGATTTTTGCATTGTACACAAATGCTGGCATCTTCTTGCAGATTGCCAGTATACCTCTGGTGGTGTTTGTGCACATGCGCACATACACCACATATTTGAGCTATAGCTATGACATAGCTATCCCAGGAAGCAGTGGGGCCCAGCGTAGGCCAAAGACCTGGAAGTTCTACTTTGCAGTACAAAAAAAACATATAAAAAGATAAACATATGATACATTTGTTTTGCTTTTGTCTAAGAGGGAGGGGGGAGCAGTAAAAAAAAATAAATGTTGTTGTAGTGGAATATCGATTCTAACTTGGGGCCTCACCCTCTTTACCATTGTTCACCAGATCTGATCACAACCGCATATCAAATGCCATCACTCTGGGTGGAGACTGTCATATTGTCCACATATGGTAAATTAGGTTGCTTGACCCTAAGATGAGTGTCCAGCAACCATAAGAATGTGAGTACACGCTAACTACACCTTCTGCTATACTTTCCATATAATGGATAGCCCTGGCCAACAGTTTTGAGCATGACACAAATATTACTTTTTACAAAGTCTGCTGCTTCAGTGTGTTTAGATCTTTTTGTCAGATGTTAATATGGTATACTGAAGTATAATTACAAGAACTTCATAATTGTCGAAGGCTTTTATTGACAATTACATTAAGTTTATGCAAAGAGTCAATTTTTGCAGTGTTGACCCTTTTTTTTCAAGACCTCTGCGATTCACCCTGGCATGATGTCAATCTTCATGGCCACATCCTGACTGGTGGCAGCCCATTCTTGCATAATCAATGCTTGGAGTTTGTCAGAATTTGTGGGTTTTTTTGTTCACCCACCTCTTGAGGATTGACCACAGGTTCTCAATGGGATTAAGGTCTGGGGAATTTCCTGGCCATGGACCCAAAATGTTGATGTTTTGTTCCCCAAGCCACTTAGTTATCATTTTGCCTTATGACAAGGTGCTCCATAATGCTGGAGAAGGCATTGTTTGTCATCAAACTGTTCTTGGTTGGTCGGGGGGAAGTTGCTCTCGGAGGATGTTTTTGTACCATTCGTTATTCATAGTTATGTTCTTAAGGCAAAATTGCGAGTGAGCCCCCCTTGGCTGAGAAGCAACCCCACACACGAATGGTCTCAGGATACTTTACTGTTGGCATGACACAGGACTGATGGTAGCACTCACCTTTTCTTCTCCGGATACCCCAAACAATTGGAAAGGGAAATTCATCAGACAAAATGGCTTTAACCCAGTCCTCAGCAGTCCAATCCCTGTACCTTTTGCAGAATATCAGTCTGTCCCTGATGATGTTTTTCCTGGAGAGAAGTGGCTTCTTTGCTGCTATTCTTGACACCAGGACATCCTCCAAAAGTCTTCCCCTCACTCTGCGTGTAGATGCACTCACACCTTCCTGCTGCCGTTCCTGAGTAAGCTCTGTACTGGTGGTGCCCCAATCCCGTAGCTGAATCAACTTTCAAAGATGGTCCTGCCACTTGCTGTACTTTCTTGGGCGCTCTGAAGCCTTCTTTACAACAATTCAACCTCTCTACTTGAAGTTCTTGATAATCCGATATATATGGTTGATTTAGGTGCAATCTTAGTAGCAGCAATATCCCTTTCCTGCGAATCCCTTTTTGTGCAAAGCAATGATAACTGCAAATGTTTCCTTGTAAGTTAACATTTTTGTCATTCTCAAAACTCTTGGCCAGGGCT